AATGGACGTCAAGTTCTCAGTCCCAAAGAGCAAAGGGACCATCCAGACTTTTACCAGCGACAGATGCAAAAGCAAATGTCTGTCATGGTATGGGGCTGCAGCAGAGCAAACGGCATGGTGGAATATGTGCGAAGATACCATTGATATGTACAGAGACATATACTGCCATCAAGATGACATCTTTCACGGGAAGTCCATGGTTATTAAATCAAGACAATGCCAGGTCTCATTCTGCATGTGCTACAACCGCGTGGTTTCGTAGACACAGAGTGAATGTGCTAGACTGGCCTGCCTGCAGCACAGATCTGTCTCCTATTGAAAATGTCCGACCAGTCATGCAAAGGAGAATCAGACAGTGACGGTTACAGACTGCTGAGCATCTGAAGTCTTGTATCAAGCGAGATTGGACGAAAAGTTTGCTTGCAAAACTTTAACAATTAGTATCATCAATTCCTAAACAATTAAACTGTGTAATTAAAAGGAAAGTTGATGTGACACAGTGGTAAACCCGCCTCTGTCCCAACTTTTTTTTAAGTGTGTTGCAGCCATCAAAATTTGTTTATATTTACAAAATAACATTAAGTTGGCCAGTGAAAACACTGGAAATTTTTTCTTTGTATTTTAGTCAAACTAAATAAAGGTTAAAGAGAATGAACAAATAACATTCTTGATTTTATGGCATTTCACAAAACGTCCCAACTTTTCTGGAATTAAGGTTGTAATTACTGTCAGACTCTCAAAATCCTTCATCACTTGAATTATGATTATAATAATTTAATTTTAAAGCACAGCCACCAAAAAATCAGACTTACTTTGAGATCATTCTGAGGTTAAATACAGATTTAAAATCAAAGCAAGAAATTGTTTAATAGCTATGATTCTGTTTTTGAAATCAAGTCTTTGAAAGTTATGACAGTAAACACTGGCATCTGAGTCATTCCACGAAACCGGTACGATTTGAGTCCCTCTGACCTTTTTAAGTGTATTTTATCTATTGGGTCCCCAAAATCTATTTTTAAAAGCTTTTTGTATTAATTGAAATGTCTCCTTTAATAAGGCTTAAAAACATGACATACATTTTACCTTTATATTAGAAATTATCTTGTTTTTTTTCAGTCGACACCACCTATTTTGTCATGTCCCTCATGGCCTTCTATGAAAGTGTACTTGGGATATGAATAATAAAATTAGAAAAAAGTCCATACATTTTGCCATTCTCATAAATATCTATCTGTGCAGCCACCACAAAATCAGACTTACTTTGAGATCATTCTGAGGTTAAATACAGATTTAAAATCATAACAAGAAATAATTTAATAGCTATGATAATGTTTTTGAAATCAAATATTTGCAAGCTATGACAGGAAACACTGGAATCTAACAATGCCTTGGAAAAAAAACGGTTAATCTTAAAAAAATAAAACGTATATATAAACCCAAATAGGAAATAAAACAGTCATCAAATAAGCACGTGTCCTATTTTCTGTACCAAATTCCTGAGACATTGGTGTCTCATATTTTAGAGCAGTCACTGCAACTTATGAAAGAAATCAATTAAATCTGTATGTGGGTGTGTGAAAAAAAAAAATCAAATGTAACCCCCTTTGTAATCATTAACATTTTCATAAGTAACTGTAATTTATTTACACGTTTTTTTCTCAGTAACTGATTACAATTAAATTTATTTTGTAATTAAATTACGTAATTCCGTTACATGTAACTAGTTACTCCCCAACACTGAAATTAGCCTACT